GTCAAGGACACATTTTTTCAAGGTCGTGAGTGGTATGACCTCCTAAAATGTGATCGAACACGCCTCCAGGACTGCTTGATGTTGCCTGGAACGTCGGTCCAGAAGCAACTGCATCAGCGCTCGCTTCTCACCGCAGATGGACTTGCATTGGCAAAGCAAGTGACCTCGGTACGCATGGCCAGCCGTAAGCGTGGCTCTCGGCCAAAGGTCCTTAACATGGCCTCGTCGCTGATCAGGGCTTGGGCGGCGGAAGCACAAGCGGCAGCCGCGCTCAGCGGACCCTTGGAGGGGTGCCTTGGGATTGAGACGTGTTCGAGCGCAGAAGCGAGGGCGCGGGCGTTTCCGAAGCGCCGGAGCTTGCAAAAAAGCGCCCTCGGGAGTGGGTCGTTTCGGCTGGAGCTTTCTTAGAGCCACCCAGCGTTGCCGCCACATTCCTTGCTCAGGCAGATGAAGGGGCGGCACGCGCCTCAGAGCATAGCGCAGCATAGTGATTGAGGGCGTGTGCCTTGCTCATGTCTGCTTAGTAGGCATGCCAAGAAGTGCTCAAGTCAGCACGCGCTGCCGTCGCGCAGACATGCATCTCAGTCAGTCATGCTACACCTGGGTCCTGGTAGGCAGTCGTGCGTGAAAGCTGCCAGGCGGATGGAGCAGCAACACGCTCCTCAGAGTATAGTGGTTGAGGGCGTGCGTGTTGGTGATTGCGCGGACCGGTTGCTTCATTTGACCCTCGAGTAGACTTTCTGTTGCAGGCGTGGGGAGAGTCGAGCCAGGCATGTTCGAGGCGCGGTGCCAAAGCGGCGCCTAGCAGCGATCTCAGCATGCTTCTCGCAGCCACACAGGCGCTGTCGATGCTTGAGCAAGTCACCTCAAGCTGAGCTGAGTCGCCTTCAGGTGGATGTGCCCTGAGATGAGGCGCCCTGCTTGCTCGCGTGGGAGTTGCTTCTGGAACGCGCGTTGCCACCATGGTCGTGGAGCGCTGTTTCGTGTCAAGGACGAGGGCCTGATCACGGCGACGAAGCGTCCGGCTGACGCCCTCGTGGCGCAAACTCCCTCCAAGGTCAAAAGCGGACGCTGGGAAATTCGGAAGCAGACCTAATAGTAGTAGCTTCAAGTCCTTACTCACACCATCTGAAACGCGACCGAGAAGGCGTGCTCTTTGCGAATCCCGGGCGTTAACTTCATGTTACAGGCGGCTGTTGCTTCTGGAACGCGCGTTGCGTGAACTGGGGCTTGCGCAGCGACTGAAAAAACCTTTCTGCAAGGCCATCCTGCGCACGGTAGACAAAACCTGGAAGTCGCTGGCAACAACGAGCAAGAAGTCCAAAACAAATGCGGCCATACGTGGCGCACAGCTGCGTGCTGGTGGCCGGCTTGCTGATGGTTCAGAATGGCTCGCTGGATGCTCGGCAGCGCAGGCCCATCCCACGGCCATGTCCCACCCGTCCGAGCCGATATCGTGGGACTTCTCACACACGTAGAGATAGCTCCTACTGCCAAGCCCAAGGCAACCGAATCGAACGAGGAGATTGCCATCAGCGCCTGGGGCAGGATGGTGAGCGCGGCCAGCTCGACGGGTCCGTGGAAGGCTCTTGCAAGGACTTCCTGGACTCCGGCGCAGCCAGCCACCTGATCACAGATGTTGCAGGAGAGCGCGCCGAGCGCTTGCGGCAGCTTGACTGCGACAGGGGCCAGGCCATTTCCACGCCCCGAATGAAGACGGACGGCTTGGAGAAGCACGTGTTTTGCGCAGCTACCGTTGCTGCTCGCCCCACCCCCCTTGCCTGCAGTTGGGTGTAGAACTCATGCGCTGACAGACCAAGCCGAGGCCGCTGTGGAGGTCGTGGACGAACGCACGCGGCAGCCCCAGCTATACACCTTGTAAGCGCTGCCGCGCCAAAATTGATGCAAACGCGCAGGCCTGCGAGAAGACGGCTGAGGGCTGCGCTTCCACGCCGAATGACAAGGTGGCTGTCCTTGCTGACCACGTGGGCTGCTTGGAGCTGCTGAGGATAAGCAGCCACTGCTGCGTATCCTTGACAAAGAGGGGTGCGAGGGGAGGTGCTCTCGAGCTGAGCTGGACATTTGCTTGGCCGCCAGCTCCAGCATGAACAAGTATCGGCCTGCGACAGACTCTACTCCTACTACGACTTAGCAGGATTGTCAAGACTCCGATAGCAAGGCTTCGATCACGACAGAGTCGTGAGTCAGTTCCAGGTCCTGGCGGCGCAGCCGTGCTTGGGAAAGGCCTACGATGCTCATAGCCGCCCCATCATCAAAAAGGTGCTGCGCCTTGCCAGAAGGGGCCGTGTGTCCGGTTAGCAGCGTGTGCACACTTGTGTCCTACTCCGGCATGGGCATCAAGGTCAACGGCGCAGTGCTCTTCCCGGCCTTTGTGACCGTCCTGGCACGTGCAAAGGATGCAGGCGGGCTGCGTCGATTTGGCGATCAGAGCGACGAGCACGTCTTGATTCAGCACGCCCAAGTTGTGCGTGTCGACAAAAAAGTGGCAGAGGAAGAGTTCTGCGTGGAAGACATGTGCAGCTTTGCTCAGCGCTTACAGTGCAGCATGTCCGTCCCCAGCTACTTCTCGGAGCGCTGACTCGCGAAGACAAAGCGGGCAAGGTCACCATGGTCGTGGAGCGCATGTTTCGTGTCAAGGACGAGGGCCAAGTGGACAACCTTGCTGCTGAGCGCTCCCTTGTCGTGGAACCAAAGCGGACGCTGGGAAATTCGGAAGGAGACTTAATAGTGGCTTCGAGTCCTTTCTCACACCATTTGAAACGCGACCGGGAAGGCGTGCTCTTTGCGAATCCCGGGCGTTAACTCCATGTTATGTTGACAGGCGGCTATGAAAAAAGTAAAAGGCCTAGCTTGGGGCGCACGAGGGGTGGAGCGCGTGCGGACTGGATGCTGCGCAGGGGCCGTCAGCAGCTTCTGGAGCAAGACTATGGCGCAGCTTGATGCCGTGTCGGACTGCGCTTTGCCTGCACCATGCGACGAGTTGGAGGAATGGATAGACGACCGCCAGCGAGCCATCGACAGCTGCTTCAAAAACCGCAGAGCCTCGTCAGACCTGGACTGCCGAGTGTGGCAGCACAACTATAGATTCAAGAGCATTGAAGCCTGGCCGCTGGATGCCTGCGTTGTGATCCGAGAACGCAAGTCAGAATGTGTTGCTGGGAAGCCTCAAAGCTGCCCGCTCCTTGGCGGACATCCACAGCTGGCTCGCAGCGCGCGTCAACGTAGTGGTAACCCTTTTCCGGGGCGCTCCGCAGGACTGGCGCCAATACTTCGAAGACCTTGGCGCTCGTCATCTCCAAGGACACCTAGAGGACTGGACCGTGAAGCAGCCGCGTAACAGCCCGGACCGGCAGTGTGCTCTGGACTGCTTCACGCATTGGAAGCGCCTCTGTTGCCAGCTTTGCTCTGGCGGCATCAACCGCAGCGCTGGCGCGCTGTGCGCGTGGTTCATTGTAGCCTTTTCTGCTGCGAGCGCAACGGACCTCTTGCTCGAGAAGCGCCCTGGCCTTCGTCCATGGCGTCATCGGAGATACGTGCTGCGGGCTCTGTACACGGTGGAGCAAAGTCGAACTTCTTGGCGGTCAAAGTTTGGCGACTGCAAGGACGAGCTTGGCGAGCGTGATCTTTGTGACTCCTCCGGGCAGCGCGCAGGTAGTGGCGCACGGTTTGTTGCTGAGTGCAACGAGCAGGCGAATGTTTTCGAAGCTCTGTTGTCTCAGTGGCAGACTGTCTGCAAGTGCGTGACACCCGCCTCATGCGACGAGCAAGAACAATGCGAGCGAGTCATGAGCGGTCTGGGCTTTTGCCTCTTGCTTGCGCGCAGGCGGACAACTCCGGCAGAGCTAGCAACCAGCGCTACAAACGCGCTTGGCAACACCACCAGCCCCACGACACACGTTCAAGTCAAAGTCCGCACTGGTGAACACCACGCGCAGCCTCACGCGCAGCGTCATATGCCACAGCGTGCACAGCGTCGTGCGCAGCGTCACGCGCCGTGCCACGCACACCTTGGCGCGCAGCATGCAGACGAGTGGCCCGGACGCAACATAGGTGACAGTCGAAGTAATTCTCGAAAAGTTGGCACGAGAAGCTGGCAGGCGATTGGCATGAGAAGCTGGCGGGCGAAGTAACTCTCGAACAGTAACTTCGCGATCTTCCTCGCTGCTGCCAGACAACATCAGCAGATTGAACAACCTACATGACATGCCTGAGCATTTGTGCTCATTGCACGCTGTTGCACTTGAGTGAAGCCGAGGGAAGGCAAGGGAAGCCGGGCAACATTAGCAGATTGAACAACCTACATGACATGCTTGAGCATTTGCATTGAGACCTCCTTATGTAGGTTGCCTGCATGTCCAGGAATTTCACTGCGGTCTCGCTTCGCCCAGCTGGTGGTGGAATCTCCACGGCGCCTCAGGTGTTGGTTCTCCCCCGCCTCGCCTTCCGCGCCACGTGCCTGGTGGTTTGTTCAAGCTGGCGCGGCAGAAGAAGCAACATCGCGGTAGTTTGCCTGCTGCATGTTTGTTCATATTGGAGCCGCCCGAAGCATGGTACGCATCATCGAGATGCACATGCCGAGCCGCTCGATCTACAAGCACGACATGATGGTTGGCAAGATCGCGATGAGCCGGGAGAACCTGCGCTGAGAAGCGCATGAAATTGACAAAAAGCGGAATCTGTCTGCGCGCAGCTTGTCGCGACTAAACTACTTGATCGCTAACAACTTGCCTCTTTGCTTCCAGGCCACCCGTCGTCTAGTTTATTTGCTTCTCGAGCGCTCCAGCAGAGAGAGTGCAAATGTAGAGACACAGCGGCGCAGTTATTTTTAACAGCCGGGAACCTCATGTTTGGGAAATTGTTCTTTGAGCCATATGAACGTGTCGGGTAAAAATAGGGCCACGTGGGCAAGGCGTGACCCACCAAAGAGAATCCATCCTAATCCTCCCAGAGGGAATCCACCCGAGCACTTGCTGTCCAAGGACCAAGGCCGGCGGCTGCCACTTCGGACCGCGCCGCTGGAAGTGATCTTGGAGGCCCGCAGGCACCGAACTCTCTCCGAAAGCATCTCCAAAAAGGTGCACTTGGACACGCAGGCAGTTGACGTGATGGCCTGAATTCTGTAACGGATAGGGATTTTCAGGCAGCCCTAGCTACCTTAAACCCTAAACCTACAATGTGGTGCGTGTGCCTTGGTGAAATTATTGGTAGTCGACTGTTGGTTTGGGGAGGGCGTGGCAGCCAAATTTCTTGTGTCCTTTCGCAAAACAAGCAACTTTGTCCGGGGCTCCTATGGGCAAGGTGATGCACTTCCTGTTCGGAAATCAACCTTATGGAGGTGTGGCTGCAAAAGCTGCATCACTTACGCACACGTGCGTTGCACGCGTGAAGGCAATTCACATGATGATGCCTTTCCTTTCGGCTCATTTGTTTCTCTGTCGAGGGTGGTGTTTTTCTCAGAGATGCAATCTCAAGGCTAATTGGAAATCATGGTGAGAGCCAAGCTACCTTCACATGTAAACCATATTGTGCAATACACCGTGACAAGGCGCAGCCCCACGCATGTGATTTACAATCTTGTGTGCGTGAAGCACCTGCAGGGGAGCAGACAGCTAAGACGGGCAAGGTTTTATAACTTGCCGCCAAAGCGTGGACCGCGATCGATCCGTGGTTTTGCCAGGGCCTGGCTTTCCTTCTTTCTGCTTTGCATCTCCGGGTGCAGCTGAGCCTAGGCGAGTCGCTTTCGCACTGAACCGAGGGCGACCAGTCAGAGGGGGACCTTGTCAGGAGCGCGAGGCTGTTTGGTTTGCACACAAGCAAAATGGCTCTTTGCGCAAAAGTATCAACGCTCTATGTTCAGTTTTTGCTCCCATGGAGCTTGCTTCCGCCCCGGAGAGCGGCAAATTGCCAACCTCATCGCAAGTTCGCAAGCTGTCAGTTGGGCATTGACGCCCGGTGCAGGTTGTCTGTGCAATCCATCATTGACAGCCATAGGAGTAGCGTATTCGGAGGATGGTTGAGGTTCCTCAGAGGCACACAGGCTCAAGATGGCTCAAAGACAACAATGTGATTTCACCGCCGTTGTGGTACGGCAAGTAGTGGCCTATGCGCGGCGAAACAACATGAAGAGGTGGCACGTGCCACGGCAAAGCAAGAGATTGACAGCTTTAACCGCCCAGAGCAGTGGATCAACATGGGCTTGCAAAGTTCTTTGAGCCATATTCCGTTTTTCCGACGATTAGCGGTGCAGCAGACAGCCATTCGGCGAGGTGCGCAATCAGGCAGCTGCTGCTGGAAAGTATATTGCTTGCTACAAACTCATGTACAATCCACTAAAAGGACTGTTGACAGAACTCGCTGGACAAGTGCGGGAAACTTGATTTTCTCGAAAGCATCGCGAAGTGTTCTTCCGCGCGGCGCTCTCGTACCAACTTGCAGAGAGCCACTTGCGCAGAATCAAACACATAGAGCCAAGCGCATGGAGCCAGAGGAGCCAAGTGCATAGAGCCAAGCGCATAGAGCCAAGTGCATAGAGCCAAGTGCATAGAGCCGTGCATAGAGCCAAGTGCATAGAGCCCAGTGCATAGAGCCAAGCGCATAGAGCCAAGTGCATGGAGCCAAGTGCGTAGAGCAGTGCACAGACCCGAGTGCATAGAGCCGAGCGCATAGAGCCAAGTGCATAGAGCCAAGCGCATAGAGCCAAGTGCATAGCGCCAAGTGCATAGCTTCGGCGTTAGCAGCTATGTAAGTTAAGTTTAGCTGTCTAGGGCGCCGGGGCAGGACTTTGATCGTTGATCGGGTTTTGCGACCCTCTGCGGGGATCGGCGTGGTCGAGGCACAAAAACTCAAGGTTTTTTTTTTTGCGATTTCTGATCTGCCCGCGGGATCGGCGTGGTCGAGGTGCAAACACTCAGTTTTTTTTTGCGATTTCTGATCTGCCCGCGCCCCTCTGCGGGGATCGGCGTTTTTTTGATTCTTGCGGTGCCCGCGCGACCCTCTGCGGGGATCGGCGTGGTCAAGGTGCGAGATCGTGCGTGTCGAAGCGCTCTCGCTGCGGTGCGATTTTATTACTCGCGAAACGGCCTTTGGAAGTTGTCTCGTGGTTTGCGCGCCTGCTTTCGCAATTGTACGGTCGCGGGTTCGATTCCCCCCTGGTCCGCGGCAGCTCCGGCTCAAGCAAAGAAGCCGTAGTATGTGGAGTGTACTCATGGCGGCTCCGACCGAAGCGCAGACGTATAGCGCACGGAGCACCTCCACAGCTCAGCTCAGGCTGAGCATCTTGCGCACATATACAAGCGCCGAGCGTCTTGCGAAGAGAAACTTGCACAACGTGCGCAGAACAGCTTGAAGACAGGTGTCGAGCCACTTGCGTGCAGCAGCTTGCAGAGGGCAACTTGCGCGCAGCAGCCTGGAACAATTCAGCTTGCGCAGACGCTGCCATGTTTCCTCTTGTAGGACGATGAGACGGAGCTCTCATGTGACCATACACATTGAGCATCGCCGCGCGCAGACACGCATCGATGTAAAAGGTGTCTCCGCGGCTGGAAGAGCGCTTGGGGAAAATGCTTTCGGGCCAATCGCTTTGTTTGAGAGACGACCGCAGCTGGTGAACCTTGGCATCAGGCAGGAGGACTGCGTTGGATGATGAGCGCCAACCACGTCGCGCATGGCGCTTGAGTTTCTCAGCGCTACCAATCTCTCCTCTTCCCACCCAAGATCAGGTTCGTAGCGGTCCCAAAAACCCGCGAAGTTGCCATAGCAGTGAAAGTCATAGCGCTTGGCATTGGAAGTTGTTGGGCACAGGCTCTCTCCCCGAGCCAGCGTGAGTTTCGCGCTAGCCTGGCGCAGAAGGATGCGACCACATAGTTTATCGCAAACCCCCGTGCCGAGGGATCCTTCTTCCCGTCTGCCAATCTCCTTTGCCGCGGTGAGAGGAGTCGATGGCCCTAGGCCAGAATCTCGGTCGGCGCGGCGTCCGCGATTCTCCAAGGTTGAATGACTGAAAGCTCTGCAGCTGCCTCTGTTTTCCATGTGCGCCTGGCTTTCGAACCCCTAAAGCGTCTGCAACCAAGATCGCAACGTGGCGGGTGTTCGCCCGACAGGGCTTGACTCAACGAGCTGGTCATGACCTGGCTGTTGTCCAGAATGATGGGCTCGTTCTGGCTCTTTTGCGTGCAGCGCTACTGCAGCTTCATGCAGGAAAAGTGCGCCAACAGATTGCAGGAACGTGGCATCGCAGCTGCTTGCGAGTTGCAAAATGAACGTGACTAAGAGGCGATTCACAAAAGATGAACATGTTCATTGCCTCACCAGAAGCATGTTGGCAAAAAGATAGGCGCAGACTGATTTCCATGAAGCGCCTGCGTCGTTTCCCAGTCTGCAAGGTAGCTGTTTTATGTATTGGTGGCTTCAGGCTTTTTCTGTGCTGGACTCAGGAATAGCTGTGAGAGTGCGAACGTGTTCATGATGAATCATGGAGCACCTGCATGTGTGTGTGTGTGCTCACGAGTGCGCGTCCGTGCGCGCACGTGAGAGAGAGAGAGAGGGAAAAAAAGTGTTATCTCATTGGCACTGCCTGCCAAGTAGGCGGAGACAATGCCACCATGTCAATGTAACCCTGCCCACGCAGGCGCCGTCGTGACTTCAATATCTGATGGCCTCTTTCAGGCGGATCGGCGAAAGCCACGGTTCGCCGCCAGCAACGGCTTCTTCGAGCTGTTTGAAGCCAAACCTCCTCCTTGGTGCACAAAGATGGCCTCTTTGCTTGGATGTCAAGAAGCTTGTCTTGTTCGACTTCCGTTTTGATCCGTTTCCATATCAGGTCCCAGGAAACGCGCAGGCTCCCTGCATGGGGAAATGGGGAGCTCAGCCTCATTCAATGTCAAGCTAAAGCTCGGCCCGGCCAGGCTCTCTTGCTTCTTGTTGTTTGTACTTCTCTGAGCACGATCACGCTGGGTTTGGCGCGAACCTGAGAGTTCCGGTGTGGGTGCAATTCAATGTAGGCGTGTTGCTGTTCCTCTTGCTCTCTTGCTTGGTAGCATGTGTGTAAACCACTGTGGACTTGGCATGTTGTATGTTAGGCCGCAGCCCCGCAGGCCTTGAGTCAGATGCGCACATGCAGCAAGACAAGGCAAGCGGGCTTTAGAGTTTCCACCCACAGTGGTGGCGGAGCCATGTTCACGATTCGGGCCACGCGCTACTTTCGCAAAGACCGTCTTTCTGGACGTTTGGGGATGGTGCTGGCTGAGGCTAATCCGACCCTGGGCTCAGTACCGCAGCGGACAAGCCTTCCTTCCAGCTTGGAAAACTTAGAGATGAGGGCGTCAGTCTGGGGGTTCTTCCTTCTCTTGTCAAAATCGGAATGTTGATGGTTGGGTGGGCCGATGGGCGCCATTGGAGCGGGGTTGCCATTGATGGTGCTCCAGCGCTCACTGGTAGAGTGAGCTGCCTCATCGCAGCGCTGCCTATGACAGCATCCTTTGACCGGTTGCGGTGTTGTTGCCCGTGCTGGCCACAAACAAGCATCTTCCTTTTGCTAGCCTTCCCGGCACCCTTGGTCTGGAGCAGGCAGTCCTTAGCAATGTGGCCAGCTCGTTGCAGTTGAAGCAGCGAGCGCACAGTGCAGCCCCTCTCACCTGTTCTTTGTGGGATGATTCCCCACCTTTTCCACGACCAGAAACCCTTCTTCCCGCCTTTGCCTTCGCGAAGCGCTGGGCCTCTCCGCCACTGGACCCACCAATTTTTTCGAGGGCGGCGATCACAGTCTGGTTGCAATCAGCCAAGTCAACGGCTGCGGTGGCCTTCCGCAACATCACCATTGATGATCGGATGATCGGCGGCCAGGCCCCCCACTGTCGAGGTTGTAGCCTTGATGGTGTGGGACCGGCAGCCGAATTCTCCCGATTGTCTTTGGCATCGAGCAGGCGGCGGACCCTATCGGTGGACACATGTCTGCAAGGCAGATCCAAGGGAAAGCGACTTTTGGTGGACAACAGTCAAGATCAAGGCGCCGAAGACCGAGGGGCGCTGCCACTGCGCAACAGGCCGGTAAAGCGCGACCAGCCGCATCCCCAGAGAAAGGGTCAAGGCAGGACTAACAGGGGCGCTGCTGGCGAGGAAGTTTGGAGATCACTTCCGCGCCTGTGGTGACGTGGAAACGCTCAACCGAACCTTCCCAGGCAGTTGGAGAAGACGCTGCAGGGAACGGGGCTCGCGCAGAAGCTCGCCTTCGAAACTGCTGCAACTGCGCGGTTACGATAAGCACGCGTGACCAGACTTCCGTCAAAGCCAGTGAAGAGCCTCATCGACATGACCGCCAAGCAGAAGTACGGGCGGAGGTCATGGAGCTGCGGGTGACAGAGAAGGTGGAGGAGTTTGGAACGTCCACCGGGAGCTTGAAATGTCACCGTGAACAAGTGCAACAGCTGGTCGCCAAACTGAGACCAGCTCTGCTCATTCTGAGTCCGCCCTGCGCTACTACCTTCCGTCCGACACGCCGGCTATCGCGTTGGAGGCGACAGTCACAGGCAGCCTTGGAGTTGGCGGGCGTAACAGTCACAGAGGTTTCTTGCTGGAACATCCGGAGCCCGATTCATCGTGCGAGACTCGAAGGCCCAATCATTTCGAGAACACCCGGTCGTCTACACCATTCGCCTTGGCACGTGGTGAAAACCATAACAAGAAATGCCCTGCTGTTGAAAAGCTACAACCGCGCAACACATGCCGCAACGGCCACTGCGAGTGGCCTGAACCGACATCTTCGAGTGCTGACC